ATTGTTTCCTAATATAAAGTATTAATCATAATTAATAAACTCTATTCATATTCCATAAATATTCAAATCATAATAAATGAACTCCAATCATTTCTATAAATATHBYAAWTAABTRKGTTGCAAAGGTTGTACAAATGCACAAGGTTGTAAAAGAAATATACCCTATATATATATATATATATATATATATATCAATATGAGTGTTAAATTAAAGAGAATAAGATACTAATTTAATATTATAATTTATTTGATTAAACAAGTAATTATATTTAAGATAGTTTACATATTTTTAAATTGAGATAAATATGTGAGTTAAAATCCTTCAAGGTTTAATTCTCATTGTTTACAAAATGGATAAAATAAGAATGATATAAAAATTGATTTTTTTTGTTTATATCATTAATTTGTATATAATATTTAGGGGCTGTTTGACAATTGCTGAATGGTTTAATGTAGAATAATTAAGTGGTCAAAATGACTAAGAGACTCTCGTGATATAATGCAAAATGAAATATAATTGTTAGGTAATATTTTACAATTCAATTAAGATACTGAATGGTTAAAGGAGGCCTAGGATACAAAGTCATTTAGAGGGTTTTAGAACTATTAAGAGACAAACTATTTTTTTTGGTCAAACAAGATTCATCTCTTTACGATTCAGACACTGCCTCTTAATTGAACTATTAAGAGGTAAACAAACAACCCCTTAAAGCCCTAATCCAAACATTAGATATGAACCCAATTGAAGAAAGCCTCTCCATCATTTTGGGTAAGACAAGATTCAAGACCAGAATCTCTGAACAAGCTAAAGAAATATTGGAGATGAGTAGAGAGGAGGTGTCCGATGGCAACAACAAAGGACACTGTAGGCTCCGAGGGAGAAGGGTGATTTATCGGGCAAAGAAGACATCCCAATTGATGGTGAAAGTGGTGACGACGTGGAGGGCAGTAAAAAACACAACTCGATAGAGGAAAGGGATTATTCATAGATGGATTTGCAACAAGAATTTTGTTCAAAGTCATTGAACAATCATCTTTTGGGAAGAGGAAAGGTCGTTGACATCTCTTTAATTGATGAGCCCAAATTTTTCAAATTAAATAATGAGAAAATGAGAATATCTCAGCTTTTGGGGTCTCCATGGACTCCCTTCATGGTCCATCAAATCCACTACTTTTGGGACTATTCCAAATCGTCAAAAAAAAAGTAGATGAACCTCATATTGACTAGAGATGGCCAAATGAGCCCGGAACGGTCCAAGACCGGCGAAGGACCGAGACCGGGACCAATTGGGGCTGGTTTCAGACTGGTTATGGTTTTCATCCAAAAACAAGGCTCGACCTGGCCCGGGACTGGACCGATTTAAAAAAAATGTATTTTTATATGTATTTTCTAGCCTTTTAAGTGTATTTGATTGAAAATCGAATTACAAATTTACAATGAAACATATTTTTTAAGTGTATTTGATTAAAACCAATTATAAAACTATAATAAAACGTAATTTTTAAGTGTATTTGATTGAAAATCAATTATAAAACTACAAAAAAACGTATCTTTTAAATGTATTTGATTGACTTAATTATATATTTTTAAAGTGTAATAGAATAACATTAAAATAGTTTTGAAAATTTATCAAAAATAATTTTAAAATAAATATAAAAAGAAAATGTTTTTTTTAATATATGACCGGTTTGGGCCTAGCCCGGGACCGAGTCCGGTTACTATAACCGATTACAAATACCCTTAACTGGGCCTTAATATTTTGGACGAGACCGGTTATAAGCATCACTGTTCCATCCCGGTACCAGCTTTGGCCTGGCTTGACCCGGGACCAAATTTTGATCATCACTAATATTGACCCAGTGGAAGGGGTAGAAATGATGGACCCTTTTCGGCCCACCAAGAATGCCCCGAGAAAAGTTTTTTAACACTATCCTCGATAACTTGATGGATTTGGAGGAGATTGCAAGTTCCGCCTAGAAAAAACTAGAGCTTGTCTCTAGAATCTCAAAGGTAAGAGACTGGGGGTGGGGGACGGTATCATTGGAGCCATACCAAATGGAACAATGCCCGAAGAACCGAGATATGGAAAAAGAAGATGAGTATAAGAATGTTAAATGAGATGAGATGGCCCGTGGCAAGCATGGCACAAAATGTGGGATTAGAGATGACTCTAATTCTTGTAAGAACTTATCTAACAAGTTAAGTCTCGAAACCCCGTAGACAAGCTTGTAGGATCACTAAAAAAAAACAGTAAAATCCTAATCAGTCAACACTGGAGGACCAGGTTTTCATGAACATCCATCAAAGTCAATCAATGCCCATAATTCAGAAAAGACATAAGAAGTGGGAGCTTTCATCCGGAACGAATCCGATAATGGTGGCAATCCACGTCTTCGGAGGCCTAAGATATAAAAATCATTCAAAGGATTTTAAATTTATTAAGAGACATATTTTTTTTTACCAAACAAGATTCACCTTTTAATAATTCAGAGCTTACCTCTTAATGAAACTATTAAACAGTAAATCAACAATCCCTAAATTACCTCTTTATGAAACTATTAAACGGTAAACAAACAATCCCTAGTGTTTTTTTGTTTATAGGTATAGTTAATTTTGATTATAAATAATCAATAAGATTGTGAATAAGATTGTGAATAAAAAAATTTCATAAACCAAAAATTGTATATAGAAGTAAAAAGAATCCTTTACAAGATCCCATAAATTGGTGGGTTTATGGTCGGGAAAGGGAAAAAACCTAGACTGTTTCTGCAACATCTGAAAATGGTTGAAATTAACAGAAGAAATGCTGTAACTGAGGGAATCCACAACTGAAATCGACGGTGGAAGCCCTGAAATTCAAGAAGAAAAGTTGCAGAAAAGCATAATATAGCTGCAGCTGCAAGAGTAGTAGGACGCAACTGAAGTTGAGTTCTTCCAAGCAAAACTGAAGATGGAGAGCAGCGAAGAAGAAGATGATTTCCCATCTATCGAATCCGTCACCCCACAATCTAAGATCGACACCATCTATCAGTCTAAAACTGAAAAGGTATCAAACTCTTTGTTTCGTTTTTTCGACCTTTTAGATTTCAGTGTGGTTTTCTCTTGTAAGCTCAAAATCTATGAGAACTGTTAATGAGTTTAAACTACGAAGCGAGACCTAAAAGTTGGAGAAAATCTATGTTAATGTTTGAATTTGAGAGATTTTAGGTTTGAATTTTAAAAGTCTGAAGTTGATTCTAATTGTAGGATGATGACATTATGTTTATGAATCGCTATTGTATCTCAAATGCCGTTGTTGTTTATAGGATTGAAGGTTATTTTGCGTACGAGACTATTAGGTTGTAAAGCTGTGAGTAGATTTGAGAAAATATATGGCATCTTACTGATTGAGTTTCAATTTTGTCTCCGATTTTTGAAATCCCCAATGCTGTGTTACATGTATGTACGTCTTCCTTGATGGGTTTAATAGACAATTAGGTGTTGCATTTGTGCATCTTAAAAAGTGTAGCTCGAAGACCGAAGTTGGAGATATAATCATGAATCGTAGTAGTTTTTAATGGTGGATTATTTGTATTGTTGAATATGAAGATGAATTACATGGGATACTGTGGTTTATAAAAATATCAGATCTTATTTTCAATTGTAAGATATATAGGCAAGATAGGTTAGGGGGAACCACATGTCTGCACATGACATTAATTAATGATCAGCTTTTAAGTATCACTGGCTCTTTATATATATGGACTTCAGTGTTATAGTTTGTATGGTACAATTACGTAATCTGTTGGTGGCTGTACATGATAAGCATTTGGTGCAAATGGGATACCTAAGTAGGAGTTATATTTAGCACTATTGGATGCTTCATATGGCACTGTATCTATTCACAAGTTGTAAAGCACATTACTTCTCTGACTTCAATTAGTGTTAGATCTGCGTAGAAATGGCTTGACTTTTGTTTTGGCAGATTTTCAGTTGTCATGGATTCATCATTAGTTTACTTTGGTCGCTAGTAGCCTAGTAATCATTGCATAGGAAACACAAAAAGATGCAACGAATTACAAATTGATAATTTGATGACTATCTTGCCATTTCAGGCTGAGACAGACAGGGTGCACTGTTGTTCATTTTGGCAAGGCATGTTTGCTACAATCTTGCTTATACAAAGGCTGGAGTCCTAAAAAACATCTAGATTTATCTACATAATACATCAATATAGCATGCAAGTATGTAGGAATAAAAGATGAGGAATGGACACAAGTTAATGATGGAGTTCACTTAGAGAAGTGTTGCATCGTGTCATGTTGAAGACATGCATTAAAATTAAATTAAGGTACAATGCAGGCATGCAGCTAATTAAAATTAAATTAAGGTACAATGCAGGCATGCAGCTAAGTACATTTGAAGTATGAGTGTTAATCGGTTTACTAGACCATTGTATGGTATGAACTAACTTGCGTGCCTGGTACTGTAGTAGAAGTATTCTATGCAAATCTTTAGCTCTTAAATTGAGGGGCCAGGTCAATTCATTTGGACCCTTTAGCATTTTCATTTATGAGCAGTGTTTGTATGATCTATAATAAATGTAGGTGTGATAATAGGTCACGTTACTTGATGTGAAAATAAAATGAAGTCAGGACTTGCAAAACGGAGAATGGAGGAACAATGAATGGAACCTTGGTAATCTAACATAAGCATTTGGGGAATACATATTATTGATGATACAAAACATATTTGATAGCTGAGCATGTATTGGTATTACATATTTACAAAACATATTATCCATGCTTGGTGAGTGAAGTGATATTCGGAAACTGGTTTTGCTTAACCACTGAATTCAAGGGTTAAAGCAATTAAACAAAGCACCAGAAAACCCAGGGCAAGATGGAACCAGGAAGGGGAGAATCTTCTTGGGAAGAAGAAAAACACAGGAACTTTGCTCGAAATGATATGTATTGTACTTAGAGGTGCACAAGATCCGGGCCTTAACTGGTCCTAAAAATACTGGTCCTTTTTAGCCAAAAAAGACTGCTCCAAGAAAGAGCCGGGTCGGGCCTTAACTGGCACTTGGCAAAAAAAAATTAGGACCAAATTTGGACCAGCTGTCCTAACTGGTTCTTTTGGGTTTTTTAAATAACAAATATATGTATAAAAGAATGAAATGGACAATTATTTTGAAAAATACCTTGAACTTTCATTTAACCGTAAACTAATAAATTATAAATAGGTTCAATTATAAAATTGTAAACTAATTAATTGTAACACTACACATTATAAAATTATTTGATGTCTTCGTTTTTGCTCTTTTTTCTTCATATCCTCTTGAATATATTCCTGAATGGTCTTATAGATTTTTTTTTGGTCTTTGTCTTCTCAGTGGTCATCAATTTCTTCTTCGCCATCTTTCTCAGTGCTTGGTAATTTATCCTCCACATCCATGTTAGTAGGGGTTGTAGCGAGCATCTTCATCTTCGATTTCTTTGACAGCCAATTCAATTGAAACTTTGTCTTGAATCCGCTCATTACTATCATAATAGATTGAGAAGGATGAGAATGAGAATGAGAATGATGTAAAGAACTGTTTATGGAACCAACCTTTTATACTAGCCAAGAAGTTAACAAAACGACTACTTTAACCATGAAATATAGTTGTTGGGAGGGGAATATTAGGTATTTTTTTAAAAAGGGACAAAATTCTTGGAAACCCAAAAACTAGACGTTTTTGGCTGCCTTCCTCTCTTCTCCTCGGGACCCCTAGCCTCTTGAGTTGCTTTTAGTTTTTTTATTGTTGAGTTGTTTTTAGTTTTTTTTAATTTATTTATAGTTTATTCATTATCTGTTATATATTAGTAAAGTGACAAATTATTAACCATCCATTTTTATATGTGGATCATAGTTTTGTGATTAAATGCTATTTTATTTTATGCACAGGGCATCAGAAAGCTTTGTTTTGAGCTTCTTGATTTGAAGGATGCGGTAGAGAATTTATGTGGCAACACTCAATCCAAGTACTTGGCTTTTTTGAGGTAATATTCCCTCACCCTTTGTCTCTTCCCTCTCACCTCTTATTTGCACATGTGGATTGGTACGCAATATTTTATGTCTAGTTAAATGAGGGGTAATGACACTCTTTGTTGAAATGCTAGTGAAACTTGATAGCTAACAAACTTGCTATTTGACAAATTTTAGAGATTTTGGGAAAATCGGGCCTTTGGCCTAGCGTTATCTGGGACTTTAGTCTCCCAAGAGGTCAGGGGTTCAAACCTCACCAAAGGTGAGGAGGGGGTGTGAGTTTATTTGTTGTATTTGCCATATATAAAAGGTGTGTCTTCTCTTGAGAAGAATTCTCATTATATACTCATCAATTTCAGCTAGTGGAATGCACTCTTTTTCACTTGAAAAAAGACGGTATCATGAGAAATCAAAACTTTTATGACTTTTAGAAGTATCTCTGTTAAGTTGTTTCTTCCAATTTGTCTTTGAGGCAACTTTTTTTAGATTTATTTAATATTCCTAGACACCCCTAAGTGGAGGCATCGGAAATTCTTTTGCTTTGTGTGTTCCTTGTTTCTTAATTTTTTTGAATCATTTAATTTTGTACACAGCTTAACATGAATTCTAAAAGCGTGTGTTGTTTATTGTAATTTCTAATAAAATAAGGTTATCTGAAGAGGTTGTGGAAATGGAGCACGAGCTAAATGAGCTACAAAAGAATATTTCTGCACAGGGAATCCTTGTACAGGACTTATTGAGTGGCGTCTATCATGAGCTGGGAGAATGGAGCCGAGCCAATCCAGGCCTCCTGAATTCTGAAGAACCTCAAAAAGACGGTGAAATTGACTTTTCAAATGAAGCAGAAGATGAAAAGCGGTTATGTCTGGAAAATATTGATATACTTCTGGCTGAGCATAAAGTGGAAGAAGCAATTGAAGCAATAGATGCAGAAGAAAGAAAGCATCCAGAACTTAAAAGCTCAGGAGATACTTTATCCAATGAACTGTCATCATACAAATCTGCTTTCATGAAACGGAAATCGATTCTTGAGGATCAATTGGTTCAGATGACAGAACAGACATTGATTGGTGCTGCTGATCTGAAAATAGCTGTTTCTGGTCTATTGAAGCTTGGAAAAGGTCCTCTTGCACATCAGCTTCTTCTGAAAGCGAATGGGGCCCGCCTTCAGAAAAGAATCGAGGTCTTTCTTCCATCATGCCCTTGTTACCCGGAAACATTTTCCGCTACTTTATCTAACCTCATATTTTCTACAATCTCATCAACAACAAAAGAGATGGGTTTGATGTTTGGAGATGATTTGGTTTACAGTAACAGAGTTGTTCAATGGGCAGAATGGCAGATTGAATTATTTGTGCGGTTGGTTAAGGAGAATGCGCCTTCTTCTGAGACCGTTTCAGCTTTACATGCTGCAAGTGTATGTGTTCAGGCTAGTCTTAACCACTGCTCTGCGTTGGAATCACAGGGACTGAAGCTCTCAAAGGTGCTTTTGGTGCTTTTGGAGCCATATGTTGAAGAAGTTCTAGAATTGAATTTCAGAAGGGCAAGAAAACTAGTTTTTGCTTTTTCTGGAAATGATGAAATCTTGCCACTGTCACCTCGTCTTGCATCTCCATTGTCTACTTTTGCTATATCTTCTGACGGCCTGCTTGTTGATAGCGGCACAAGGTTCATCTTCATGGTCAAAGTGAGTAAACTTTATCATCTAGAGGGATCTATATGGGGATTTTTTTGGATGCTAGCAACGAAATTGCTTTACGCACCTAAATTTTAGCTTACTGGGGCTTCTTTTTCACTTCTTTTTTCAATTATGCCCCTATAATTTACATAAATCCCCCTTATATTTTCTTTTTAGGTCATATGACACTATCATCCAACTTATTAGCTAGTTTTTACCATACATGATTAACAACTTATCAGCTAGTTTGCGGTTGATCCTATGCTAATTATTTGAACAAGACCGAAGTCTTTTGTTTACTTCCATAGAATAGAAGGGCATGTTTTTTCTTACACAGATAATTTATTGTATATAATTTGCTGTTACAGCTATTAATTACCCCATGATGTAACTTAATTTAAATATTTTCGACAGGATATAGTGGAGCAGCTAACGCGCCTAGTCATTTTGCACTTTGGAGGAAATGTTTTGACTAGAATCTTGCAACTTTTTGATCAATACATGGATGAACTGATAAAAGCTTTACCTGAACCATCTGAAGACGATAGTTTGGTGGAGTTAAAAGAAGCTATACCTTTTAGCGCCGAGACTGATTCCCAACAGCTTGCTCTGTTGGGAACTGCATTTACCATTGCAGAGGAGCTATTACCGATGGTTATGTCTGAAATTTGGAGTGTTGTAAATGAAAGCAAGGAATCAGGAAGTGGAGTTACTGATAACATTGCCCCTTTAATGAACGGTACGATAGATTATAAGGACTGGAGGCGGCAGCTTCAGCATTCATTGGATAAGCTTAGAGATCATTTCTGTAGACAGTATGTTCTGAATTTCATTTATTCAAGAGATGGTAAAACACGACCTGATGCACACATTTATTTAAGTGGGGAAGGCGATGATCTCAGTTGGAATTCTGATCCTTTGCCTTCGTTGCCCTTCCAGGTTAAGTCTCTAACAGAAGCATTCTTGTCTAAACTCTTATAGCTGCTACATTCCTATGCATTTTACTACTCCCGCTGTCTCATAAAAATTGAAAGAATTTTCATTTTGGAATGTCTCATGAAAGACACTTTTTTTGCCATCCATTTAGCTTAAAGTTACCTATTTGCCAATTCTAATTGTTACAAAGACGTAGTGATATTGATTCGAGCCCACAAGAGACTTCTATTAATCCAATGGTAGCCAAATTTTCTATGTATCTGATCAAATGTTGCAATTTTCATGCGACAAAGGGAGTACTTGTTCTTCTTTTCATCATATTTGGAGAACTTTGATGGAGTCTTTTTAAGCTACCAACCAGCCTTTTCTATGCGATTGATTCTACAGGCCTTATTTGGGAAGTTGCAGCAGTTAGCAACGGTTGCTGGGGATGTGTTACTTGGGAAAGAAAAGATCCAGAAAGTGTTGCTTGCCAGGCTAACCGAGACTGTAGTGATGTGGTTGATGTCCAACGAAGAGGATTTCTGGGGTGTTCTAGAGAATGAAGTGGCAAAACTTCAGCCACAAGGGTTACAGCAGGTAAATCATTAGTGAAGAATAAATTAACGATATTATATAGCTGTAAACTGCTAAGATTGCTAGCAAAACTGAAATTATCTAAAAATCAAATTTACCACTAGAAAAGTTGCTGAGCATTGTTCTACTGAAGTTACTCTTCTTGCTTTTCTATCTCTTTGTTTTCTTAATTTTTAAATGTTTATGAAGCAACTATAACATGGTATAAATTGAAGTATATAGAAATAACCTAAATCAAAATGCTCCACCGAATTCCATCCAATAGTCAAATGATCAAACCTTTATCTGACCTGGCCTAATAATATATTTGGGCAAGAAGTTGATCATCGGCAACACCAACCGGCCCCACACGGAACGTACCTTCAAGGACACCTATGTGAGGGGGCATTTTTTTGGCTCACTCAGCGGCTGAGGTTAGCCGGCAGGAGTTGGGGGGGGGGGGGGGGATCGTACCCAGGACCTGTATTGTATTTAGGCAAAGTTGCCCCGACCCTTTGCCAACTGATCTACACGCCGGAGGCTTGTAGTCCCTTTTGCAGGCTCAGAAAACAGTTCCATGGTTTGTCATCTTATTTGGTGACAATGGTTCAAGGTAAATAATAGAACAGATTTGAGAAGTTGAGAGTTGGGATGTCAACGTCAATTCGTTTCTGCCTTTTAATCTTTTCATGTTTTTCATTAGAATTCAAGCTTGTTTGGGCTCTAATTTATGTATTATGGCTTCTGAACTGGCTCACTTGAGTTTAAGCTCGTGCTAAAATCAGACATTGTTTCCCAAGCTTAGCTAGGGCTCAAGCTCGAATAAGCTAAAACCTGGCTTGCTTGGGAGCTCAGCACAGATGCACTCCTAGGACGTGCACCTCCATCCTTCTGTCTCACTCTATTTTCTCATTTAATGTATTCCGCTTTATTTATTGAGTTGGAAATTCTACATGTTTTTTGCAGTTAATTCTTGATATGCACTTCACTGTTGAAATCGCGCGTTTTGCTGGTTACTCTTCCAGAAATGTGCACCAGATGGCATCGTCCATAATTGCTCGTGCTATTAGAACATTCTCAGGCAGAGGTGCAAACAAACAAAGGTACGGCAAGTCTTCAGTTAGGTTTATGGTTCCGTTTGATAGACAAAGAGTTTATTTCGTTTGTTCTGTGTGCTGTTTAGCTAGGTGGACAATATGCATTCTTTTTTAATGATGTCTTAAGAAAAAAACACTTTTGCAAAATATGTGGCTTATAACTATTTTTTTTACTAAAACTTTTTCAATAGCCGGGGAAACTGCTGTTTGCATGCATCTTAACCCCCCCCCCCCCCCCCCCCCCCCCCCCCCCCACCAGAGCCTAAGTTTTGTTGGAGGGGGAGGGGTTGGAGGGCCATGCCACCGCTCTATCATGCCGGCATCAATGAACTTTTTTTAGGAGTCTTAAAGTTGCATTTGGTTTAATTTGACATTTTGATATGTGTTGCCTTAAGTTGCATACCGATAGTGTCATTGCATGTGGCATTATAGGTTGCATGATTGAATCCCTTCGGCTTTCTTTTTGATTTTTTGGTAATTGCAGTAAAGAAAAGGAAAAAACCCACTTGTATGTCATTTTTAATGGAACCTTACTTCTTATAATTAACTTTTGTCTTATTTCATATTATGCTAATAATTTTGTGCCCCCGCCTGAAAATTGTTCTGAATCCTCCTTTGTTCAGACGGGATATTCAAGTCTGTTTGGTTTATCTATTCTTCCGCCCCCATACGTCCAAATTGCATATAAGTACATATTAGGATCTGATTTTTAATCTCACCAGTGCACTTCCGGAGGACGAATGGTTTGTTGAAACCGCAAAGGCTGCAATAAACAAGCTCTTGATGGGAGGTGACGGATCGGATACTTCTGAAATCGATGAAGACCATATAATCTTACATGATGATGATGAATTACATGATGATGATGAATTACATGATGAAGTGATTTCAGATTCTGACGAATCTCCTTCATCTCTCTCAACGATTACTACTTCCGAATCTTTTGCTTCTGCAGAAAGTCAAATGTTGGATAGTCTTTCGGATTTTACAGATCCCGAGTCGTGATATGTTACTTCCGGAAGACGCTCGACCGACGATTTTGTATTAGAATTATCTGCTCTCAGGTTAGTTATGGTAGCGTTAGATTCAAATCTAAAGTAGTTTGCATGTAATATTTACTAAAAAGAAACTCTTGTTGCATTCTAATTAGAAAATTTCATAAAATCAAGATATCATGTTCTTGGTCTCTTTAGTGTTAATCATGTTTTTGAATCCTCACCTTATTGCTTTTGAAATTGGTTCATCCTTTGGTGTCATGGAAAGACTGCTATACTCTTTAGGGTTAGAGGTCAAGTCTGTATATATCTTATTCTTTGGGCTCGTGTGGTTTAGTCTGCTCTACTCTTAGGGTTTTTACAGAAACAACAACTCTATTTTTTGAGTAATGGTAGAGGTTAGGTCTGCATACATCCCACCCCATCCCCACATCTAGATGGGATATCCCATCTTTAGGGTTTTCACGAAGAAAACCGCTTTACTCTTTGGGGTAGAGGTCAAATTTGTATACCTCCCCCAACCCCAAATCTGTGTGGGATATTTCGGTCTGGTAGGGGATCCTCCATGACCATAGTTTTTGGGCGTCATGAAATGTGTTCTATATGTCGGTAACTAGATCGTGGATTATGGCAACAAGATTTGTACGATACGATGGTCGGCTTTGTTTCGAGTTGGTCAATTTCTTAAGATCTAGATGCTGGTTTTCTTGCATATCTTTTTGTTTGTTTTGCAAACTAGGGGTTGTTATGGAAACAACCACTCTACTCTCTGGGGTAGAGGCAAGGTTTTAAATAGCGTGGCGGCGAGATCAAGCCTCAAGTTTTAGGAGCCTGGCGAGGCCGCGACGAGAAAAGGCGTGACTTATGGTGGAATTTTTTTTTATAAAAAAATAAATTATTGTGTATATGAACATATATTTTCTTCTACTACTAGTCAATGAGTTAATAATATTAAATAATTTAAATTAGGTTGTACATTAGAAACTAACAAATAAAACATTAAAAAAGTAAGAAAAATCAAATATTGCGTTATGTTGTATTAGGTAATGGCATGTCACATGCTTAACATGGCGTGAGACACAAGCTTTAAGTCACAGTATGCCATGATGGTTGTTGCGGCAAGCTTTTTAGAGCACTGGATAGAGGCAACACAAGTATACATCCAGACCCTACTCTGTGTAAGATATTGGGTTTTATTTGGTTTAAGATCTAAATGTTGGGACGGTAACGAAAAAAGATACAATTGATAAGATCAAATTAGTATGAGAGTTCTAATTCCAAACATACTTTTAAAACATTTATCTTGAGTCACCATATTTTTGATATTTCTTATATGAAAAATCCAATGATTAAAAATTTTGTTTTTAAAATATGTACGAAAACAAAGTGGTTCGGTTTTAATTTGTACAAACAGTGAAACATATGGAACAAAAAGTAAGTATTTTTTGTGCCATAGAAACATATGGAACAAAAATCAGATAAATGAAATAAATTTAATAAATAATTAATTTACCTATATCAAATTAAAATACCGACTTCTTGGATCAATCCGTCATCTTTCTGCAGTGAAGTCGGCATGCCAAACGAAGTCGTATTGAGCCCCCCCCTTTCGATATCCTTTCACATGTGTACCTTTTGGGTCCAATTTTTGTACCAACACCAAATTACGAGGGAGTAAGAGGTAACTTTAGAATTGTTGAAGGGCTAATTCGTAAATAAGCATCTCGTGGTGGAAGTCAAACATAAAAAAATTGGAAGAACCACAGACGCGAGGGCCGTGGTGGTCGGAAAGAGAAGGATGATGTTAAGCTGCGGCGTGTCTACGTCATCTTACCGTGTTCCTCACGTCGTAACCTTCTGTTACAACAACCCTAATCATCCAACCGCTAAACATGGTGAATTGGAGTCGGTGGTAACGAGACGAGCTTTATCTCTCCTCGCAACGTCGATGGCGACGGCAACAACCGCAATGTTTTCAGTCCCAATATTGTTTTGCGACTCTTCAGCTCGTCGCTCAGAAGCTTCCGCTTCCGCTTCCGCCACCTCCACCTCCACCTCCACCGCCACTGGTACTCAATTTTCTGAACTGCCTCAATCTGGAGGTGTAAAGGCGTTGGATCTTCGAATTGGCGATGGAGATTCTCCCGTTAATGGCGATAAGGTTTCACCTCTCTATTTCTCTTTCAATTTGCTCTTTCTGATTTTTGAAAATCGCAAAATGGGCCATAATTTGTAAACTAGAGGCGAAATCTATTTCGATAAAAGGCTAGATCGTATTATCAATCACTGGTTCTACATTTACCTGGTTCTGAGCTGATGATTGTAATTCCAATTGTTTAGAGTGATACAAAACTAAATTTCATCTTTGAAGCTGTTCTAATTCTCTGAAACACGGTTTGCTACAGGTTTTAGCATAATAGTGCGTGAGATTATGAAGTTTGTAATGGTGGTTGAGCTAATCTGTCCCAGCATTTCTGCACAGGTTGCCATTCATTACTATGGAAGGTTAGCTGCTAAGCAGGGATGGCGCTTTGATTCAACATATGATCACAAAGATGAAACTGGTGAACCAGTTCCCTTTAGCTTCATTCTTGGTTCAGGCAAAGTAAGGGGCAGTTTGTTCCTTTTTCCGTTATTTTCTCCGTCTGTATGGAATTAGATAGATTTGCTGTTTGACTCTTGTGCTGAATGAACAGTATGAATGACAAAAATGATCATTTAACCCCTCTAGCCATTAAAAGATCATAATAGTATCAATATGCTTCTATTTGATTGCTTGGATGTTGTAATCCCAAATCTAAGCATCATTAGATTGATTACAGATTGCAACGATTATGTTATATCTGTGCAATTAGTGTCCAAAACATGTGGTTGTTTGTGAAGAGAGATTTACTGAACAAATTGGTTAAGTGTCTTATTGGTAATTTATGATTGGTTTGTGTTTTATTTGTTCATCTAGTCCAGGTCATACAGGGGATGGAAGAAGCAGTTAGATCAATGAAAGTTGGAGGTATTCGTCGAGTCATCATCCCGCCATCACAAGGATATCAAAACATGTCTCAAGAGCCTATTCCACCAAATGTAAGTAACCTCTTGAAACTATCAAATGCCATTTCTACCATTTTTTTTCATCTTAATTCTCTAATTTCTAGCCCTTAGCACTCAGCTGATAATACTTTTGAGTTTAAAACATTCCCTCAAACCAAACACTCCCTTAGGCTCCATACATAGATCTGTTGTTAGACAGACAAGTTACTATGCCCACATGGGGTAAGTTGCTGCATCGGGATTCTATGGTTGTGTTGGCTGGTTCTTGAAATAAGCCTCATGTTTGCTTTCGGGTCTCAAACATCCGTTCGATATCTTTTTGCTTGATATTAAAACTTGTTTATGTTGGTTGTTTTTGACAGTTCTTTGACAGGCAAAGGCTGTTTACTACAATTTTCAATCCTACACGCCTTGCAAATGGGGAAGGCTCTACTTTGGGGATTCTCATATTTGACATTGAACTTGTCAGCCTAAACCACCTCTAAACAGTAAACTTCTCGATCGGACGAGTAAACTACGTTGTTCGTACCTGTCGTTTGTTGACAATTGCTATTTTCGTCCCCGTCTTTTCTAAATTATGGTTTTCCTCCATGTGAATTACTATTCGTTGTTGTATTCATCCGTGTGGTTTACAGGTCATTGCTGTTTTCGTCTCTCGGTAAAGCACTGAAGGAGTTTTCCTCAGGGACGAAAAACAATGAACTGCTGACCATAGGGACTAAAACTGTAATTTCAAAAGTACAAGGATGAAAGTCGCAATTTTTAACAAACCGTAGAAACGAAAAAACGCAGTTTTAATCCAGCCGATTACTTGGTCATCCAAATAAGGATAAGCTTCCACCGGCCCTTCCATCTTACCGTGGCTATCTAGTCATTGACCCATTTGCTTGCGAAACATATCCTCACTTCGTGCTGTTCCCTTATGCATGATGATTACTGATTCAAATTGCTGCAATAAGCCACCTCTCCGCTCTCCGCTACGAGGTTGGCAGCAACGTGAGCCAACACCAGCAGAAAGGAGGAGGAGACGGAAGGCTGTAAGAATCGTAGCTTAAAAGACCACATTTCTGTATTTATCTTGCACCTAACTAAAAACCCAACAAAATTTATCTTTATCCATACGTGATTGTGATGTATCAAACAAATACCGTACACAGTGACCATTTTGGATACCCGAAATCACAAATATTTTGGGTCTTTTCGTGTGTTTCTTGATCATATTTGGTCAATCACAAATATTTTGGTATCTAGTTCTGTTGACAAAGAGGTGAGGTGATTATGTTCAAATACAAGACAAGTTATGAGTTAATGATGACCCTCTTGCTAGCCTTAGCCGTCGAGGGAAGCAAAAAATGTCCCTTTATATTGGTGTTCTTAGAGACATTATCGATTGAAGTTGCCAATAACCAACTTTTTTGTCCAAATTATAGATGTTGAAAATTGTGATACAAATACAAAACAAAGTTATCTAAAACATAAAATTCTGAGAGTTTTTGACATCGTCGCATTATATTCAAGCACACGTGTGTAGGAAAATGGAAAGTTTTGGGTGGTCTGATACGGCATTATGCTATTTTGCAAAACAAAAAGTTTTGGGTGTTCTGACACGGCCGCACCTTATGAAACAGCACGGTCGTGCGTAGTGTTATTTCGTGAAACAGAAACTTTTGGGTCTTTAGTGTAACATTCCCAAACGCTACATTTGCATATAACACATATTTTATTACATAGAAATATAATTTACACTACAAGGTTCCACTAGTACAATGATTCCTATATGTACAAAATCTACATATGAAAAATTCCAAAACAAATCCTGTACTAACACATGTAATACAACATGTATTTTCAAAAATAAGCAATCTTAAGCAAATCTTCAAAAGCAGATAATAGATTAGGAAAAATAATCACATTTTTCCTTTCCTTTTGATATCCCTGGACCCCGCTATTTCTGCATTGCATAATTTTAAAATAGAAAATGAGGGTTAGATCAGAAGGGTCTAGTGAGTGAATCTCCTTCTTTGCAAATGCAGAGTGATACATACCAAAATGAAATAATATACCTTTGCTCAGGAATATTAGCAACACAGTCAAATAATGTAGTTCTCATGTATAATAGGATAAACTCAAGAATCTTGGTTCTATTAATAAAATACATCTGCTTAAAGATCCAACATTCTCAATATGAAACAAATATTATAACCAAATATTCTTCGAATCATTAAACCATTCCTTTGTAAATATTTAACGGAAAGATTTAAGGCTTTACTTGCCTTTTATGACAAACCATTTTCCCCTGCTCAATAACATCTAAATTATTGTTTCTAATATGAATAATATCTCTAATTCATCAGGTCACAAAGAAATGATGATTCAAAGTTATTAAATCCAATTAGTAACAATAATAAGAGTTATAATRTTATCCACATATGACAATGCCTCCCTTATTTCAAGTACACCTCTCCTTGATATGCCATCCTTATTCCTTCATCAAGACAGGGCTACTTATCAGAACAGACAAAAGCCACCACGTTTGAAAGTACCTATTCTCAGTTCCAAGCCAGAACAGACAAATGTCACCACGTCTGGGGGAACTACCACTTAAAACAAGTTTCATACCAAAACAGACTTACGTCACCACGCTTGATAGAAACAGTTTACAAAAATCCAATTCCATACCAAAATAGACTTACGTCACCACGTTTGGTAGGAATGTTTCCCAAAATATAGTTTCATACCAAAACAGATTTACGTCACCACGCTTGGTAGAAACATTTTCCCAAATCCAGTTCCATACCAAAATAGACTTACGTCACCACGCTTGGTAGGAACATATCTTTTTATTTAAAAAGATATAAAATACTTCTTTTATAATTCCATAATTAAACCCAATAATAGACATTTTAAAATTATATTAAATGTCTAAAATATTCAACATTTGAAAATATCAAATATAAATCACCCGGATAAGTTATCCGGATATACAATCCGGACAACACTATCCCTTCTTGTCCGATATACTAATCCGGACAAGACTTGGTCGAGTTAAAACTAAACCGCATGATTCATGTCCGGTTTAAAACAATCCGGATAACACATGATCGGTTTAAGACTAAATCGCTCAATACATGATCGGTCTATAACTAATCCGTACGACCCTTAGGCGATTTAAGGCTAAACTGCACAATGCTTGGTCGTATTCATACTTCTCCGTTCAAAACCTTTGTCCGGTTTACATATTTCAAAATTCTCACTAACACCCTAAGTCACACAACACTTAAGCGATTTATGAATAAATTGGACACCTCCTAACCGGTTTAAGAGTAATCCGGACAAACTTTGTCCGGTTTAGACTTAATCCGGTCACCCTTTGTTTGAATAAAACCTCTAATTAAATAACTGATTTCTTTCCAATAATAAGCAACAATCAATAAAATCAGTAACAAATTTTATACAAAAGAGATTTAGAAATCACTCACCTTTTTATGCAAATTTTCAAATTTGAGATGAAGAATATAAGACCAAATGCTTCTCCGAACAATTCTTCTCAAAAGCTCTCAACTTCCCAAAATAAGGCAAGAAACTTTGCCTGAAAAACTTAAACCTTCTATTTATACTTTCTAATTATAGAAAGTCGGCTTCTGCCTCCATATGCATGCATACATACAACACTATTCATGCATGAATATCATTTTATGCATACACACATCACATACATATTTATATCATGCGCACACACACACACACACACACATATATATATATATATATATATCTACATATTATGCATATATCCCTATGCAYAAAATACACATACTCACATATTTAACCCATGTAAGTATGTATCCACATAAGCAATTAATTCACATAATAAATACCTTGGGTAATAATCAGGACCTGATTATCACATTCAGGCATTGTCGCACCTTATAATTCTTCCTGGCCGTGTGCGACGATAAGAATAATTTTTTTAGCTTTTAGTATTGAGATCAAATTGTGATTCCACAACCCCTTGAGTTCCATCATGATAGAGTACGAAACTGAGAGCTTAGAAGCCGTAGTTTGAGTAGAAAAAACATTGAGAGAGATTATACACAATTTAGTGTTCGGTTTTTAATTTCTATTAGGTGGGTGTTCTTCGTTAATCAAAAGTTCCTCCTCTCCCATGTGGACGTACATCACCATATTGGTGGTGGAACCATGTAAATCTCTGTGTTTTGTATGTTTTCAAAGTTCTTTGGTTGATGGATCGTTGTGCTTTCAATCCTACTTTGTTATTTGCATTCCTTGTAGGTTGGCATCACATATTTGATTGTCATTGAATAAAGTTTTACTCTATTTGTTTTTGGAACCTTTCTGGTGTCCAAACTCCAAACAAGTGGTATTAAAGTTTCGTTTCTGATTACTGGCGTTCCGGTGGAACATATTCAACATTACTTTAAGCATCGAGATGGAGATCTCCAGAGAAGACGAAAAGAACTTCTTCTACCTATATTAAAGGTTCATACGTAGTTTTTGGATCCACACTTCAGATTGAGAGGTGGAATGGGGACGAAGACTTAGTGGTAGTGGAAGATGAAAGCGGTACTTTGAAGAAACCAGGTGCATCGTGTTGTCTATGAACTAGAAAAACTCACCCATTATATATCGGAGGAAGAGTTAGAAGAATGGATTCTCATGACATTACAACTAGCAATGGGTGAAAAAGTAATTTCGGAGATAAGTTCGGAGACAACTGCACGAGCTATCTGGAACAAGCTAGAAGAGCTCTACGTCGCAAAGTCTCTAACTAATCGTCTCATCCTATTCAAAACCTTCTTTACCTACAAGATGAAGGAATGTATAGCAATCGAGTCTCATCTCAGCGTTCTTGATGATTTGATTAAGAAAATGAAATCAATGGACTTGAAGATAGATAAAGAACAAATGACAATGATCTTTCTATGCTCCCTCCCTAAAAGGTATACTGGTTTTGCTAATTGTTTAATTTATGGAAGATATATTGTAACTATGGGAAATGTGAAAATATGCCTCTTAAGTGAGAATCTAAGGAACCAAGTATGAGGCTTGAATGTTGACAAAGATGATGGAAGCAACAACCATAAGTTATTTGTGGGAGAGGACAATGAATTTCGAAAGAGAGATAGGTCAAAAGGTCGTTCAAGGTCATGCAACTCAAAGTTTAGAGGCAAGTAAAAGAAGAGTGGCAATTGCCTCTATTGTCATCAATATGGACATTGGATTAAAGAATGTCCAAGTCTCAAAGCCAAGACCGACAAGGAAGGATCATCTTCATCCGTTGCTGTGAATGATTCTGATGATTGCTTCAACCAGAAGTGAGACTATCAAGGACCAATGGTTCTCAGATTCAAGGACTTATTTCATCATGACTCCACATAAGGAGCTCTTCTCATCACTTGAAGAAAAAGAAGGAAGCAACATCTCATGGCAAACAACTTGGGGGGCGTTTGGTTCGTAGAATGGAATTCGATGGAATTGGAATTCATCAAATGAATTTGACTTTGAGGGAATGGAATGAAATTTAATGGAATTTGACCATGCCTTGTGATTGCGTTTGGTTGCATGGAATTGGAGTGAAATTCTTAACGAATTGGGATTTTTTTGTTTGGTTCACGGAATTCAACTTTGGAGTCAGAATTAAATACCAACAAATGACCTTTTATGATTTTTGAATAACGGAATTGGACTAGTGATATCTATTGCTGGTTATCTTGAATCGATTCCTTGATTACATATGTTGTCTATCAATCTCGTTTAGATGGAGAAATTACGCGAGAGAGAGAGAGAGTTAGAGAGAGAGATAGAGAGCGAGAGCGTACCAGATGGAGATCGAACCAGAGATCAATTAGATGAGGTGGTAGATGCAACGTTGAATGAATTAGGATTAGAAAAGGAATTTGTTGGAAAGTAATTGTAATCAGAGGGTATTTTCGTGGAATGTAAAATCCGTGAGTGAAGGAATTTATTGGAATTGAAAGGATTCCATCAATTTTATTCCATGAACTAAACATTGTATTTGGAATTTGGTCAAAGGATTTGGCCATTCCAATTCCTTTCAATTCCATCCAAATCCATGAACCAAACAGCCCCTTGGTGTGCAAAAGCTTGGGAATTGGAACCATCAAGATGAAGATGTTTGATGGCATGATCCGAACTATTCTGGATGTAAGATATGT